CCAATAATGGCGTCCCAGTGTGGACAGTGTGTGGTGGAGCTGCCAGTTGTAAAACAGGTTTGGAAGCAGAAGTAGCATCCACTTCCTAAACCACATGCCTCTGGAAACTATGAACTTGGTGAAATTACGAAAGTTACAGAAAGGCAGTCGCTATGAGTTGCACTCGACTTGATGGCAATTGACAACATGTTAAAAAAGTAATAAATGGGGTGGGCAGGGAGAAAAGTGCAACAATGAATGAATAGAAATACAAAATCTCCATTAAAATTAGTAACATTTTTAAAAGGTTATAAATGGTGCACTAGAAGAAGGTGGTTAAAACCTCTGTATAAAAATAGAGAACATAAACCCCTCTGCATCAAAGACACCAGAAAAGAGAGAACCTGCAGACAGCAATTCCTCAAGCCACAGTTTAAAGAGACTAGGAAGTTCTTCAAACACTAACTGAAGGAGCGATGGGAGTGAAGCTCGAATCAGGAGGAAACGGAAACAGAGCAGCACACAGTGCCATGTGGCTGTCCTGGGCAGCTGGCCATAAGGTGCGGGACCAGGACCATGGGGCAGCGGCTGCTGGACCACCAAGCCAGGAAGGTCCTTCTCTCTGCTTGTCCTGCTTGTCCACGCCCACCGTTCCCCCTGCGGTGGGCGAGCTCGCCCCTCCCCTCTGGCCACACCCACACCACCCTGCATCTTGTGCAGAAGCTCTAGGCGCTTTCTCCCCCAGCCTCACCCTGGGCCACGCTTTGCCAACAATCAGCCCCAAATTCATGGGGCGTCTTGTCCTTGAACTCTCAACCCAGCATCCATCAAGATTAAAGGCAAAAGAAGACATTTTCAGAGAAATTGAACTGGGAAATTGCAACATTAATAGAGACCCTCTAGGAGGGATGATAGATTTTTCGTTCATTTGCCATTTTAAAGTTAACAAAATGCAAGTGCGTATCTTTCTGGTGTTCTTGTTTTTCAGCGAAGGTCCATCTGGCACAGCAATGATATTACTCATTCCATGGCCTCTCTTGAATTCAGTTTGAATTTCTGTCACTTCTTTCTTGACATACGGTTCCAGCTGTTTTTAAAAATAATCTAGCTTTCAGAAAGTAAAGAAGATTTGAAGCACTAACTGCAGAAGATCAAAGACTACAACATTCAATATGGATTGTATCTCAACCTTCAGAAAGTGTTGGAGAGGATGCAGATAGGAGCTCCTATACGCTGCTGGCGGGATTGTAAAATGGTACAACCACTCTGGACGCAAGTTTGGCGTTTCCTGAAAAAGCTGATCATAGAAATTTCATGTGACTCTGCTAGTCCACTGATGAAATATAACCTAAGAAAATTAGAACTGAGACACAGATGGAGATTTATGCACCAATCAACTTCGTTATCTTTGGCCATAGCTGTTGGTGTGTATACGTGAATACAGGTGTATTAACAGGTCTTCCTGGTACATTATGGGTAATATCTTGGCACTTGTACTTCAAGATAGGTCCTGCAATGGCCTTTCTAGGCATGAAAGCAGCCCCATTCTTCTTCCCCTTTTCATTCCCAGCATAGATCATATGATGTCTGAGTCAAAGTGGCCAACGCTGGCCCATATAATGGCCGTACATTCCATTTCATTTTTGGCGATTTCCAATTTCCCTACATTCATACTCCACACATTTCTTGTTCCAGTTATTAATGGATATTCCCAGCTGTTTCTCCTCATTGTGAGTACCTTTTACTCTGAGGGCGATACTTGTAGGAGTTCTTTGCTGTCCAGCCAGACCGACTCATAGCTGACCCTCCAGTGGGTTTTCAGAGGCAGTAAATCACATGGGAGGTGATTTCCTATCCTTTTCCCAACATGCAGCTGGTGGATTGGAACCATGTTCCTCCAGGATTGCAGCGGGGATTAGAAAGTCAGTAGGAGTCACCCACCCCAGCAATAACCACCCTGAGTGGGGACTGGCAGCCTCGCTGCCTTCCTCACACTGCAGACGTTGAGACAACTGCCAGCCCCCTGGGGGCAAAGATTCCTACTACGATGCTGGGTTTCCTTTCCTGGGCACTTTGGGATGACTGACAGGCTCTGGGAGAGACTGGGACACTGCCCACAGAAGAGAGGGCACTGAGTAGCAGGTGTAAGAGGTGTGAGGGCACCTGAGTGGGCTTGGGTTGGCTGCACCAGCTGTGGGCAGGCAGGACCAGCAGCTGCCCTCTTCCCATCATGCTTGGATGGGGCCCTGTGCTTGCTCACTCTGCTCTGCAGGAGATGGATGCCATCCACGCCTGAGTCAGAGCCCACAGGCTGGGGAGAGCACCTGGGGCAGGGGGAGTGGGGATACCCACTGTGCTGACGTACCTGTCTCAGGTGTGTATCACCTGTGCCAGCCTTCACAGGCAGCCTTCTCGCTGTGCCACTGAACCAGCTTTCCCGTCCACCTCCTTCCATGGGGGAGACCTTGGGGTGCTCTTCTCTGAGGGGAGAGGCACACCTGGGCTCCTCAGCCTTACTTTGAAGGGCCAATGCCTAGAGATCTCAGTTGCCGCTGGCCATTACCAGTTCTCTCTGCAGCTGCTTCTTCGATTCCCTGCCAAGCACAGGGACCCAGGTGAGCAGACCGCCAGCCATTTAAAGCGCGCAGGGCTCCAAGCCGCTCCCACTGCCTGTGAAGGATAGACGGAGGGACAGGTGCAGGACACTGGGGTGCAGCCTGGTGACAATGGGGGCGGGGCGGGCAGCGGGACAGGACCCTACTCTAAGGGTCACAAATGGGGCGGGCCACAGGGTGGGCCTACAATGGGGGGGGGAACGGTGAGGGGCTGAAGGAACCCGTGATGAGAACGGAGGGCAGAGGGGCTGAATGGGACTGAGAGCGGGCCCCCAGGTGGGTGGCAGGATAGGCGGACCCTGGGGCACAGCCACCCCGCGCGGCCTTACAGAAGGCCAAGGTAATAAATCAGAAATAACACTACCGTGCAATCTAGATATTTTGTTTGGCAGGAATATTTGCGTCCAATTTTCTGAAATATTGTATGAGAACATTGTGTGTCTCATTTTCCAATGACCCCTCACGGTTAACTCCCAGGAGCAGTGCCTTCCATGTCATCACCGTCCGTCCTGGCGCAGGGAGCGGTCAGGTGGCCGGCGGACCCAGGTGCACGGGGCGCCCAGCTCGCTTCCATCCGCCTTCTCCCCACGAGGCCACAGCCTCTGCACCACTGGAGGGCTGAGGGCGCAAAGGGCCTCGTTCGCGGTGGTCCAGCCTGGCGCTCTGGACCGTGTCCGGTGGCCCTCATCCCTGCGCTCATGCAACAGATGCCAGGCAGGTAGCCTGAGCTCCCCGCGGCAGGACCAGAAACACCTGCAGCTTCCATCTCCCGCGGTTCCAGGTCACCAGTGGCTCCGAGGGAGAAGGATGGGCAATCTCCACCCTAAGAGTTGGCTGCTTCTGTAAACCCGCTGGAGGGTCAGCTGTGGGTCAGTTCCCTCTCAATGGTACACAACAACAACGGCTTCGCCTCCCGGTCCTGGCCCCGCCTCCACCTCACAGGCCCCGCCTCCTTCACATGACCACGCCCCACCCTACAGCCCCGCCTCCTCCACACACCCCGCCCCTTAACCTTGGCCACATCCCCGCTTCATCCGGCCCCGCCTCCTCGTCAGCCCCGCCCCTCCACAATGGCCACACCCCCGCTCCCTTAGGCTCCGCCTCCTCACCAGCCCCCGCCTCCTCCACCCTGCCCCAGTCTCTCTATTCTGGCCCCACCTGTGCAGACCATTCCGCCTTCTCTCCAGCCCCGTCCCACTCGTGCAGGCCACGTCCCTCACCGTCCATGCTCTTGGCCTCTCCCCGCCTCGCTCTGTTCAGACGCCGCCCATCCCAGTTCTTCCCTTTCCTCCACCCTCCGCCTCCCTCCTCCATCCTCTCTCACTGCTGCCTCTTCTCCCTGAAGCCCTTGCTCCATCCTTGCCTCCTCTCACCAGGTCCTATCCCACCATCATCTGAATCCAGCACGCCTTCCTAGTCCCCCTCCTCCTCCTCACATGCTCCGCTCCATCCCCCACCACTTCCCCGCACGCCCCGCCCCATCCCCTACCACCTCCCCGCATGCCAGGCCCTATCCCCACCTCCTCTCTGCAAGCCCTGCCCCATTGACGCTCCCTCCTCGCGTGCTCCACCTCGTCCCAGCCTCCTCCCCGCCAGCCCCCATCTCTACTGCCTCCTCCTATAACGACCCTTCTCCCCGCCCCCGCCCCGCCTCCTCCGCGCACTCCCAGTCCCATCTCTACTTCCCACGCCCCGCCCCATCCCCGCCTCCTCACGCACTTGCGTCCTCCCTCTACCCCTCTCATGCTCCTCTTCCACTTAGGCCCCGCCTCCGCCCCGCCTCCTCCGCGCATTCCCAGTCCCACCTCTACCTACTCATGCTCCTCCTCTTCCACTTAGGCCCCGCCCACCCCGCCTCCTCCGCACACCCTTAGTCCCACCTCTACCTCCTCATGCTCCTCCTCTTCCACTTAGGCCCCGCCCCACCCCGCCTCCTCCGCACACCCTTAGTCCCACCTCTACGTCCCACGCCCCGCCCCAGCCCCTCCTCCCCCGCGCACGCCCAGTCCCACCCCTACCTCCTCTCACACTCCTCCGCTTCAGCTCACATCCCGCCCCGCCCCGCCTCCCCGAGCACGCCCCGCCCAGTTTCTGCTTGGGGATTGGTCCTGGGTCTGATGGCCGCGGCTCTGTGGCTGCAGGCCTGAGGCGTGGTGGGCGGGCCGTAGCTTCGTCCGGCCATTGGCAGATCTCCGTTCGGGCTTGGCCCCGCCTCCGCCCGTCAACGTCGGGGCACGCAAGGCGTCGCGGGGGCTGCCGGGACAGATCTAAGATGGCCGAGCGCTTCGGTTCCGCTTCAGCCTACGGCCCGGAGCCCCATTCATTGCCCCGTTGGTGAACGGCGCCGCGTCGCCGCGAGTCGGGCCCAGGGCTCCGCGGGTTGCCGCGCCCGGATTGCACGCCGCCATGGCGACCCTGGAGAAGCTGATGAAGGCTTTCGAGTCCCTCAAGTCCTTCCAGCAGCAGCAGCAGCAGC